TGCTGACCCTAACGGAGTTGGAAAACCAAGCGCATCGACATCGAACGCAAAAAAGGTGGCAAAGAAGAAGGGTGGTGTTGGAAAAAGCGAAGGTGAATGTGGATCGAAGGGACATAAGTGCGCATTTTGTGGGTTCACAGCCCCAAGTGAATCGCAGCTGGTCAGACACACGCGCACTCACACCGGCGACAAACCATTCAAATGTGAAGTTTGTGCGACAGGATTTACCCAAAAGGGTAATCTCGAAAGCCACATGAGGACCCACGCGAATGACTTCCCGTTCCATTGCTCGATTTGTCGACAAGGATTCAAGGTGAAGAAGGCGAAGGAAGCGCATGAGAAGAGCTGCGATCCACGTCGATACGAATGCTATTTGTGCAAATATTCCACTTTGAAAAAATCACATTTAGTCAACCATATGCGCAAACACACCGGCGAAAAGCCATTCAAATGCGAAGTTTGTGCGACAGGATTTACACAAAATAATTCACTCGCAAGGCACATGAGGACCCACGTGAATGACTTCCCGTTCCATTGCTCGATTTGTCGACAAGGATTCAAGGTGAAAAAAGCGAAGGAAGCGCATGAAAAGAGCTGCGATCCACGTCGATTCGAATGCTATCTGTGCGAATATTCCACTTTGGTCAAACAAAATTTAGTCAGACATATGCGCAATCATACCGGCGACAAACCATTTCGTTGCTCTCATTGTTCCGAACGATTCGCTGTCAAATGTAACTTAAATTGGCACTTGAAACGTCACCACAATAAAACGAAATGATTTTGGTAATGCATTCAAAAGACATTCCACCGTCGAAAGATGTCTAGGGACACGTTGAATGTAGTTTTTGTGATTGTATCACATTCAGAAATGTTTGTTTATCACTTGCTTGTGCGCGAAAGAAAAGAATCTCATAAAATTTGTACAAAGATTGATGAAAATCAGCTCAAAAATGTTACAGTTAAGTTTATTTGATTGAATGAAAATCGAATTGGAACAAAGTTCCAGACACAGAAATATCCAAATCGAAGAATTGCCATAAAAAACATTTGATATGAGTGAATAAAGTGATAGAAATTAAAGCATGAATTCATTTTGTTCTTCTTATTTCAATACAAAGCTGAAATTGGACTGGGGAATGGATTATTCTGTCGAGAAGGAACAAATGAGTCGACTAAAGTTCAAAGTATCTTCCGATTTAATTGAAAGAAGAATCCGAAATCGGCCATTGGAGCATTGAATTCAATGGCCGATAAAGAACAAATGCCGATGTTATAGGTGAAAGTAAACAAGTGATTGAGCTGCCAAAATGTAGTCAATTCCATTAACTTTTGTTCCAAAAAACCACATTCAATGCGATGAATTGAGTCAAAGAGTTTCATTCAGTCATTGGTCGTGGATGCAATAAGAAAACGTCACACATTTTTAGCTTAACATTTAATTTTAATAATTTTATTTCAATGGAATAATTTAAAACATAGCTTCTCCATTTGTGGCATCCACGTAAAGTTTTTGTTAATCAAATATTGTCTACATTACTATTCTTAATCGAGTTTCTCTCTTGTCAATTTCAGAATTGTCATGAGTTCGGGTTCTATCCTTCATCTCCCTTCTCGAACTCACTCGAATGTGCGGTCAAAATTTCCGAAATTGAATGGAAATTTAAAAACAAATATAACAACAACATTACAAAACAAACCTAGCAAAAAACAAAATTCAATGTTTTTCTTAAATTTATCCAAATTTAATCACAATTTCGTGCATTCCATTTCAGTCTTTTTGAACGAATTTTCTACATCTTTCGCTACCATCTTCTGGCTTGACTTGACGATTTTATGGTCGGTGATTTTCTTTGAATTGTCCGAATAGTGTAGTTCGATGTCTTCCAGTGAAATATTCTCCGTTTCCGGTAAGATCAAGTACATCACAATGAAACCGAGACCGGAGACAGCACAGTAAAACAGCGTTGAACCGGGCAAAGAGAGTGTAAATTCTAAATTGTAATACGTTTTTCTGGAGATAAAACCAAGAATATAGCAAAAGGCAGCTGCAAATCCACTTGCTATGCCACGAGATCTGGAATACATGAAATTTTGGGATTACTAGAGAATTTTTTGATTAAATTTTTGCTTCACTACTGAGAATTTTTGAAAAATGTTCAAATAGAAGCACTGTTTTCGAAAAATGGTCGAAAAAGAATGAAAAACTAAGAAAATGGAAGAATAATTTTAAACCAAACTTACCTAAAAGGAAAAATCTCCGATAGAAGCATCCATGGCATGGTAAGAAATCCGCAATATGAGAAACAACTCCAAAGAATCAGGCAAACTAACGGAATGTAATGAATGTTTCCGTTGTCCGGTTGAAGTGATTCAATGTTTTGATCGAATGAAATGTAGCCGGTAGGTAAGTAAATGAATCCGTAGCAAGCAAGAATGGCCGAGCAAAGGAATATTCCCGTTAACATGGTTAAAAAGAAGCGCCGCTTGCCACTGAAGCGAACCGAAATAATGAAAATAACCGTTGCCAAATTGTTAAGAAAACTCATAATAGCGGCCGCTTGATCTGGTGGGATTGGACTTTCGTATGCCTTGAAAATTCGAACCATAAACGGTGCCATGGACGCGATCCCTGTGAACTGAACGATGACAAACAGTGATATTATAATGCTGAATGGCTTAAGCGTTCGCTTCCGTTTCATCTCGCTGAGCTTTTCTCGCATTGTCGGCAATGGGTGAACACACTTTAAATTCTCTTTGATACACAAGTCACAAGATTTAGAACGTTCACTGTGTTTTTGAAGCTCGTAGAATTCGTTAGCTATGACGTCACTTGACACCCAACCTCGAAGCCAGCATAGCGATTTCTCAGCTTCAGATTTGCGATTCTTTGATAGAAGCCACTGAGGTGTCTCTGGAATCTTCAAGGGAAAATTATCGTTCAGTATTCATTTGGATTTTTCTTTTAGATTTTAGTCTAGAAAATTTTGGCATAAAATGCTGTAAAAATTCATCTTTTGACTTAAAACCGTATGAATTGAGAAAACTTTTGAGTCTGAAAAGGCTTTTTTAGAAGTAATTTTCATTTCCAACATTTCAAAACGTGTCAAAAATGTCAAAAGCCCTTAAAAAAGTAGTCTTTTTATCAAAAATCACTGAAAACTCACAAAACAAACGGCAACCGCTGTGATCACAGGCATCGCCAAGCAAACTAGTGCCACGGATCGCCATGCCATCAAGGTGTTTAGGCCGAAAACCATGAATATTCCCAATGTCACGCTGATTCCGGAGTAAGCAATTAACACTCCACGCGTTGAAGGCTCACTGGAAAGGCAAAAAAAGATATTTTAGCCCATATTCTACCCGATCTACCGAGCTCATTTTGTGCACATTTTGAATAGAAAATATTGATTTTTACCATATTTCACCGAGGTAAGTAATGAGAGGAGCTTCCATCATACCAACACCTAATCCGAGCAAAGCATAACCGCTGATAATTTTCCAAAAAACATCTCCTTGGTAAACCATAAACCAACCAATCGCCAAAGGAAGGTTCACAATGATCATCGAACGTTTGCGACCCAGAGAATCTGTACAAAAGTTAGTTCAAGTCAGTTATGATAGTAATTCAAGTAAGCCTTTTCCATTGGAATCAATTTTTTCTTCAAGAGACGAATATTTTCAATACCTCAGAAGAATCTTTTGAACACTTTAAGTTTCTTGAATAAATGTTTAAAAAAAAATGCAAAACAATTTATTTTTGAACGGACGAAAATTTACCTGTTATTAAAATGGATAACAAACTGCCGAACGGTTGAAGAAGATAGCAAATGCTTCCTGTAAAAATTGAAATGATGAATGATTGGGCGATTTTTGGCAAAAGATGAAAAATAGAACATTTATATTGGTTTCGAACTGCCGAACTATTCAAGCAAAACGTTATGTAGATGATTGTTTTTAGAATTATAAAGAAAGAACGACATAAAACCAAAGGCAAGCAAAGAAGGAAGGTAGAAAAAAGAAAAATGGAATAAATAAATGAAAATTTACCTAACCAAGACGCTTCACTCGGTGTAATTGTAATGAATTCATTGCGATTGTGTTCATTCGAAATGCCAGTCAGTGCCGGAATCAAAATCGAGGGAAAGGTTGTGATCAATCCCAAATCGGTTAGAAGTAAATTTTTCACCGTCGTTGCGATGAACTGAAAAGAAACAACAAGAGTTATTTAAAGTAAGAGGTTTTGGTAAATAGTTTAGGGATAGAGACATTGGATATTTGTTCTGGTAATCTAATATTCCATGAATTGAACTTGCAATTAGTAAAAATAACACAATGTTGAATAAATAAACGATTTCGTGACTTCAATTGGCTTCATCTAAACTGTAAACGGCTAAAATTCAATGAAGTTGATTTTCGATTTGATTCGATTCGATTCTTATTAACGCAAAAAAAAAAATGAACGACAAAAAGTGTGATATTGATCAAATTTCTTAGTTGAACACTTTTTAACAAAGGTACTTCCAGTGGATCATACCTTTAGTGCAAAAGCATTTATTGCTCTCCCTAACGCAAACG